GCCGGGAGGCACGTACCGGGGGCGGCAGAGCCAGGCCAAGCAGAGGGGACCAGGCAGGACGCACAGCAGAGCCGCCTGCCCCGCGCCCCCCGCCCCCCACCTGGGCCGGGTCCCCTGCGTGTTCACAGTGCGCCCCGGCACGACTTCCAGAACTCTGGAGTCCTGTCCTTATGAGCCCCGTCCTTAGCCTCCTTCCTGCCCTTCCTGGAGCCAGGCGTGGAGGTGGGGTTGGCGCTGGAGGAAACCAGGGTCCCTCGCCTCCTGCCAGTCGTGACCGGAAGAAACGTGAGGCCCTGTATCAGGAGCTGGTGACAGGGCGCTAAGGCTGGGAAAAGGTGGCATAGACGGGAGTCCCCACCCCCACCCCCGGCGGGCGCCCCTGGAAGCAGTGTGGGGCGGAGAGGGCTGGAAACAGGGCTGACCCTCTGCCAGGACCCCGCCTGTTCTCTTCGGATTCTCACAACCTGTGTGGAAAGCGGTTCGGCAGCATCTCCTCAGATCGCACCCTTTAACCTCGCTTCCAGGCGTCTGTTCCATAGAAGTAGGGGCAGTTGTGAACACAGGTCTGAACGTTATCCTGGAAAATGCGATCCCTGGCTTACTGCCTGAACGTCCAGGGCTGGGGAGGCGTTGCTGCAAGCTACTGCCCCATCTTTCATGGGGTACTTTGCAGGACCGGGCAGAGACCAGGAATTGCCTCTGCGGTGCTGGCCAGATTAAGTACTGCCAGAAACAAGCGCTCTCTGCTGTTAAAACGCCTTCAGTCCAGCTCGGCGTGGCTCACCTGTTTGTGTGGAGGGTGGGAGGGCAGAGCAGGGGGCGCAGCAGAGTCGGGTTTTGAGTGTAACATGTCAGGGTTCCCTACTTGCACACAGAAGTCAGCCTGCCTGGGGCCCCACTTCTGGGCAGAGGCAAGTTACCTCCACTCTCTCATCCTCAGTCCTCACCCGGCAAAGGGAAAGCTTGGTGCCAGCAGCGATGTGAGGGCAAGGGGCCGGAACTCCAGCAGGGCTGGGCCAGGGAGGCTGGTGCGCATTCATTCCTTTGTCTAGATTCCCTCCCTCTGCCCGCCTTGTCTCTTTCTCTCCTTCCTGCTTCCCTTTCCTCCCCTTTCCTTTATTCTTTTATTAATTTGTCAGATGAGGGCAACCTTTAAATCTTCGTGGTTTTCAAATATAAACTTTTTTTCAAAATCAAGAGTTAAAACCACATTTTGCTGGTCCTGCCACGGGGTTGGGCCCCTGGACTCCCCTGCGCAGGAGCAAGAAGGGCCTCTGCCCTGCCCCTGGTCCAGGGCACAGCCTCCACCCTCCCTCAACCCCGGCCACCATTTAGAGAGGCCTGAACACCCTTCTGGCAGATGCTGGGGAAATCTGATGACCTGACCCGGGTGGGCCCCACCCCCACTGAACGCAGAGGAGAAGCGAAGGGAACAGTAGTGACCACGTGCGTGAGATGTGGGGGAAATGGAGAGGAGGAGATATGGGGAGGGGGCAGCAGCAGAACAGAGGGAAGGTTCAGAGGAGTGAGGTGAACTCCCAGCGACAGCACAGGGCTGGGACCTGGTGCACAACCAAGGGCTGGACTGTTGTGGGGACTACAAGGCAATTCTGGGGGGCAATGATGCCACACCTTCTCTCCTGACCCCCACCTTACAAGCACCTGCGGCAGGAGGGGCCTCGCAGAGTTGGTCTGAGGATTGCTGTGTGGTCAGCCTGTGGTCATCACAGGTCCTTGTCATGACTGTTGTCTTGTTTGCAGAGGGGCCCCAGCGGACTCCGGATGCAGAGCCTCCTGCAGCTGCTGAGGGGCAGGGGGGGCGCAGGTCCGCCCCTGGCGGAGCTGGTGAGCCTCGCAGGCAGGCTGTGCCGGGACCTCCAGGACGACCCTGCCCAGGTGCAGCCCTTGGTCACGGCGGTGCTGGACAGCCAGCTCCGCCTGCACCTCCTGGACAACGTGGACGTGGCCCTGGTGTGTGCCCGCGTGCTGGCCCAGCAGGAGCAGCACCAGGCCGCCCGCCAGCTGCTGGAGGTAGGACTGGTCTGCACGGGGGTGTGGACAGAGGTGCGGAAGCCACCACCCCCCCAGACATGACAGAAATCCCCAGAAGTCATCAAGAGCCTAGGGAGAGATGCTATATACCAAGTTGGAACCATTTACTCTCAGCCAGTGAGAATTCCTCACTGGGTAGTCTGAGACAAACTCTCTGTTTATCAAATCCCGGTGGTCCTGGAAGGGTGGGCCTGGAAGGGTGGTCCTGGCTGGGACAGTCGGCATCCCAGGTAGTGAGACAAACAGTCAAACAGACCCTAGGCTCCTGGTCTCCATTTGGGAAGTCTGAAACTGCAGGTTGCTGGGTCACTCCTCTGGTGGTACTTTGAACCTCAGCTCATTTGTCACCAAAACCTGAGCTGCGTGCATGTGAAGCTACTTATGCTCTTTATTTACTCACTTAACGTGACTGGTACATTTTACTACCTAAATACTGGTATGTTTGGTTGCAGGATGCTGCCTGCCCCAGGTTATACTGGGGTGGTGCAAATTACGCACTTTCTGCCTGTATTACTTTCTAAAATCTGAGACATTCATAATTCCAAAATCCATCTGGCTCACAGGATTGCAGTAGGACATGTGGGGGCCTATGTTTCCCTCTTTCACTCCCTGTTACAGCCGCTGCGTGGTTCATGCTGCTTTTACCTTCAGGCTGCCCAGTTCTTCCCTGTGCCTTCTGTTTCCGCTCCCCACTCCCATCCCAGCCCTGGGGAGTCCTCCTGGCTGCCCTCCCCCCGGTCCTCTCCTGCCCTCTCAATCTAGTCTTCACGCACCAGCCAGAGGGGGGTTTAAGACAGCAGGTGGTAGGTACCCTGGTGTGCAGCCAGGCAGTGGCCCCAGAGCCTGCTCTCCAGTCCCGACAGTGGCCTTACTGGCTTCCGTGCTGTCCCTCGAAGTCCCTAGACCTTTGTCTTTGACCCCGTGTGAGCCATTGGCCAGAGGTTGGAGCCCTGCTCTTCGTGTGGCTGGTGCCTTCCTGCCACTCTGGTGTCTTGCTTTCAGCGTCACCCAGTCCAGCTGATGCTTCTTTATTCTCAAGCAGAGTCCCTCGTGTCCCTTCGTGGCTCCTTCCTCAGTTCAGAATGACCAACCTATTTCTCTGTCGGTCTGTGTATGGTCTGCCTCCGCTCCTGCACTGCAGGCCCCAGGATCGGGAATGCCTCAGTTCTGCTCATTAAATGATCCCAACATAACACCTGGAACAGAAGAGGGCTCCATTTTCCAAATACGTCCGAATAAATGGGTGAACACACAGGCTTGTAACAGCTGCTGTGAAGGCAATCGATGATGAAAAACTCCCAGGGGAGGGACTATAGCTCGGTCAAGATGGTCCAGAAATGTCTGGAGGTGATGTGCTCTGAGACCTGAGACAGAGGACAGGGCCACCACATTGAGAAAGGGCGTTTATGGCCAATGGCCACTCCTGCAGGCGGGGAAGCCCCGCGTGGCTTCCGTGACGATTGTGCCTAAGGCCGACTGCTGCATTCTGCAGAAGACTACAGGCCTCAGCCCAGCAAAATGGGCTTTTCCTGATGCGTGGAGTGAAAGCTAAATGATTCTCAGCATCTCCCTCACCAAGATGGTCCCAGGAACACTGGGGTTGAAGGCAGGGACCACACACTGACCATAGGGCCTGTGTCCAGGGTAGGCCCAACTTGGCATCTTTGGGCAGCTCCCAAGCCTGGTTCCAGGACCAAGGCATACTGGGTTGGTGAGCTGGCACTGGCACAGGCCAGGACCCCTTCATCCCCCCCAGCTCAGAATGTGCTCACTGAGCCCCAGGGGCCCGCCCTGCTGGTGGGAGACAAAGGTCTTCCACTCAAGATGGGGGACAAGCCTCGGGCCCCTCAAACGTGACCTGTGGCTTGCGGTGCAGCTCTGCCTTGTGTGTTATGGCCACAGGCTCGTCCCTGGTCCTCTTGCCTGTGCTCCTCACCAGTGGGCAGTGATGGAGAGCTTTGCCCGCCTTGTCTTCTGGAAGGGCAGCAGTGCTCAGTGAGTGGGTGAGGCTGATCTCCCAGGGACTTCCCACCCAGCCTGGTGGGGACTGGAGCCCGGCTGGCCATGAGGTGCCAGCCAGTGGGTGCCAGCCAGTGGGTGCCAGCCAGCAGCTTGTCCCAGGGCTCCCAGGCTGGCGAGGGCTCAGGTCTCATCAGGCTCTCGTCCGCAGGGATTCCGGGTGCCGGGAGGCAGCCCCGAGCTGGTGCAGCTCTGGAATGACATTCACTACTGTCTGCTCATGAAGAGGCTTGGCGTGGCCGTGCTGACCCCCGTGCAGAAGTTCAGGTGCAGGAAGAGGTAGGTGCCTGCCTTGATATGCCCAGAGTCCCTGCGGCCCCCAAGGGATCTGCTGTCCAAAGCCACAGATGGGCTGAAGGGCAGTAGAGGCAGGGAGATAAGGGCAGGAAAAGCCAGGAGAAGCAGGAACAGTCAGGGTAATAGGTGTGACATCGGCTGGTGCCTTACACTCAGCCACACTCTCCTCCTGCCCCACCGGCTGTGGGGACCAATGCCTGCAGGGCACGGAGGGGGAGCCCTTCTTGGGACCCAGGCAAGAGTCCAAGCTGCAGCAGGAGCCACTGTCCATCCGGCAGGACTCCACAGGGAGGGAGTCAGTGGGCGGACACTCTGATCCCACCCTCCTTCCGAGGGATGGATGTCCCTCAGGTTGGCTAATCCCCATGGTCAGACACTGCAGATGGCCTGGCCTGGACCCCAGCACGGCCCCTCAGGGCTGCAGGACCCTTGAAAGAGAGAAAAACACGAGGGTGCTGCAGGCACGATTTGATCGACGTAGTGCTTAGGAGACTGTCTGGCACACGACAGCTGCTGAGTGGATGTTCGTGGTAATTACCGCCATGACCGTGCTCAGCACTAGGTAAATGTCACACCTGGTTCTGACTGTTTCCGTCCTCACCATTCACGGATGAGGAAACCGAGGCACAGAAGGATTCGCCCCAGGTTCCACACTAGAGAGATGCAGGATTCCAGCCTAGACATCACGACTGTGGAGCCTTTGTTCCTAGGTGCTCCCCCCCTGGCCAGGAGGGGCTGCAGGACTCGCTCGGGGCTCCTGACAGCCCGAGGGGCAGGGGTTGCTGAGCCATGGGCCTGACTGATGGAATAAGAGGTGGAATCTTTTTGGGTCAGACCGAGTTTTTCTCGTGGTCCCTGCCAGTTACGACTTTGAAGCCCAGCAGTTAATCTGTCCTGGAGTTTTGGGGGATGCAGTCATGAACCTCAGTACAGGTCCTGACAGCCTGCCAGAGGATGGTTCTGCAGAGTAAATGACTGGGGGACCAGCATGGGGTGTTGGTGAAGAGGCCCCTGGTTGCTGGGGCCCTGCTCTCCTGGAGCTGCCCGGGAGTGTGGATGGTGGACCATAGTAGACCAGGAAACAGCAGGTCCCATAATTCAGAGCAAGAACTGCTAGATGGGACACGTTCTGTAGGGGCTGTGATGCATTGGCCCTTTGTTGTGGTGGGGGCTGCAGCAGGGACCCGGCGAGCCTGGGAGAGGCCTGAGCATGGGGGCAGCTCTCTCTGGGCCTAAGGAGGGGTGACATGGGAGTCACAGCAGATGGCCAGTGCAGAAGCAGAGGCGGGAGGTCCTTGGAGTTTCTGGGAGTGGCTGTGGCTGGAGAAAGGGTGGTGTCAGGATAGGCCTTGGAGGATTTGCTGGCAGGTTGGATGTATTGGAGAAGGTAAAGAGAAAAAACCTGGGCTCCGGGGCTCTCGGCCTGATTGGCTGGCGCGTGGTGGTCTCTCATTGGATACCCAGGACGGGCTGGGGGTGGGGGGTGAAGCTTCACTGGGAGGTGGGATGTGTGGGTGCGTTTTTGTCCTTCATGGGGGTTTGTTCAGTTGACATTTGGGTAGCAGATCGTGTAGAGACAGGTTGCTGTTTGTTTATATGTCACTTTTTTCTTTTGGAAAAATTCCAATATACACACAGTCAAGAGAATAGTGTATCCAGCTTCAGTATCCTCATCATCCAGCTTCAACAGTCATGGACCATTGGTCAGTGACTGGTCCTGGGAAGTCTGGTGAGAGTGTGGAGTGGGAGCCGGGGCAGTGCCAGGCCCCTCCCTTGTTCAGGGGATGGACTAGGGGGCTGCAGCACACAGCCGGCAAGGAGAGTAGCCAGTGAGAGGAGAGGAGGTCTAGGCGAGCACACAGCTGGGCCCAGAAGAAGGGATCTGTAACCACCTCCCCACTGCCCTCATCCAGGAACCCACCGCCTCCCTCCCTCTGCCCTGACGGCCTCAAGAGCCGGAACTTCCCCAGAGAAGTTCGCCAGAAGCTGCAGGACTTTGCCTCGAGAGTGAGCACCAACCCCAGCAAGGCCCAGCGGGTAAGAGCAGTGAGAGCGAGGCCAGACACCCCTCCCTTTACCCGACCCTCTCTGTCCTTAGGGACACCCATCACTAGGTGCCTGACTGCCGACCCTTAGGTGACCATGCACCCTTGGGGAACTCCCACTTTTAGGGGAAGCCCCATCCTTAGGAGAACCCCACCCTGAGGTGATATCACACCCCTAGTGACTGATCCACAACCTCAGTCACCCCCCATCAGACCCCCTACTCACTCCATCGCCCTAGTGGCCTGTCTGCCAGGGCGCTGGTGGGCTCTGCCTCCTTTGAACTGCCCTGGGGACGGCGTTCTTTGGCTGGCGGCCCCTGAATGTCGGTCCAGCGTGCACAAGTAGGGGGTCTGGTTTCCTCACGGGTGTCTCGATATCCTGTCCTCCAGTGTGGCTTCAACAGATGCCCACTGAGCACTCGCGGCGGCCAGGGCTCCAGCAGGAGGGATGGAGGGGCTGAGCTCTCGGGGAGTAGGCTGAGGGGATGCGAGTGGGAGTCCTTCAAATCGGAAAGCTGGCTTGCTTCCTTCTCTCCCAGTCTGATCAGGGGGACTCGCTCAGTGGCCGCCCCGCCCCTTCCCCCCCCGTCCAATCAGCTGGACTCTCCCAGTGACTGCCCCGCCCCTCCTCTCTGTCTCCAATCATCCGGAGTCTGGCAGTGACCGCCCCGCATGCTCTCTTTCTGTCTGATGGGCGGGGCTCTCTCCCAGAGCTTGGTGCTGGGCCCGTGAAGGTGGTTGGGATCTGGGTCCAGCGGAAGGACAGGTGCCTGATCGCAGGGTCGATCGTGGCAGACGTGCTGTCACACCAAGCGGGCAGGTGGGCAGTGGTCTGGTGTCACCTCTGGAGGGTCCAGTCTGCAGGCCCTGCCTTAGGCCTCTGGACTCTGGGTGGTTGTCGGCGGTGCGGCGGTGTGACTGAGGAATGAAGCCAGAGGCCACTGTGCCCATCGGCTCCGTGTCCCAGCCCACTCGGTGCCCCCGCTGCCTGGTATCCAGGCTGGCTCACTGTCCCGGCCTGGCGCCTCAGGAGCCGGCTGGCCTAGGGGTGCATTGTTTCGAGGCAGGAGGACCTGGCCTCGGAGACGTGCTTGACCATGGAGCAGGTCTACAACTGGTTTGCCAATTACCGGCGGCGCCAGAGGGCTCTTGTGCAGCGTGCAGCGCCAGCCCAAGACATGGTGGACAACCCCAGCGCGACGGAGGCAGGTCCACGCCCTCTGCAGCCTGCAGGCCACCCCCACCTTGGCTCTGGGTGTGTGGACAGGCCTCAGTGGTCAGGTGAGTGGCCCGTCTCACAAAACCTATGTCTATGGCCAGGCTGAGGTAGGGTCCCTGGTTACAGGACACCCTCTCCCAGTCCACACGTTCAAGACTTCACCCCGTGGGGAGAGAGATCCCTGAAGCTGAGTCAGGTTGGACTCAGGATGGGCCTGGGTGGTGCTGCAGCAGCGTTTTGCCTTCGAGGCTACCGTGTGGCCAGGGCCAGGAGGCAGTGGGAAGGGAGCCAAGTGCCAGAGCTTAGGGTGTCCTGGGCTGGTAACTGCCGTTCAGGCCAAAGACAGATCAAGGGACCAACAAGAATGCTGGGCGGCAACCTTTTCTAGCCAGTGTGGTTGCTCTTAACCTGCTGGGAAGGAGTCTGGGATTCAGAGCATCCCCCAGCCGCCTCTCGTGTCCGGTGCATTTTCAGCAGGACCTGAGGAGAGTGGGCCTGTACAGACCCAGGAGGCCACCCAAGGGCCGTGGGAGCCCCTGGCCCCGACCCCGGACTTCTCTGGAGATGGGACTATGCCACAATCACTGGCTTCCAGGTACTGCCCTCCTCACAGGCCATGGGACCGTCTTCCTGCTCAGCTCCCCTGTCCCCGGTGGGAGACCAGACCTGAGGTGGGCATGGGAAAGCCTGCTGGACACTGGGACCAGGTCGAGGATGGCTGAGAACAGAGATGGCTGTGACCCCAGGGGTGGGGGAGCCACTGGCAGGGAGCCCACGTTGGGGACCCACACTGGCTGCCCGGAACCTGACTCATAGTCTGGCTTCATGTCAATTTTGGAGACTGGGGAACACAGACTTGGAAAGACACACACGCAGACCTACCTCCAAGACAGACCATCTGTTCTCGTGGTTTGTTTCTCTAGCATTTGGTCCGGGTAGTATTTATTTGAGTTAGTAACAGGCAACAGTTCTTGAGTTCCTACTATGGATCAGGCACTGTTCGAGCTCTTTCCCTCACCTCCTGGGATGCTGCATGAATGCAGCGAGGCTGAGGGAAGTGTGGGTCAGCAGCAGGACAAAGTTTGAGTGTGGGGCCAGGTCCACTATGTGTAACCAGCAAGCTGTGCCCACCTCTTCCACTGACCCTTGTGTGGGCAGCGTCTCTCATGATGCCACCAGGCTGGCACCTTACACCCAGGCCGGCACTGCCCAGATGTGTGACCGCAGGCAAGTCCCTGTGACCTCAGTGTCTCACTTTTGTTCACCTGTGAAATGGAGGTAGTGATAGGACCACCACTGCCATGTGGGTTGGTCCACAGATGATAGGGGTGGGGAGTTGTTAACAAAAGCCGAGGAGTGGTGTCTGAGATGCCGCTAGCATTTGTGGAATATTCACTCTTTAAATTACTAACTGCTGCCTAATATTCCTTAAAGATCCACCTTCATGTATTTACTCAACTCTTAGGGGCTTCCTAGTCTACTTCCACTGTCATACTGTGCAGCAATGCTTATGAGGCCTGTAAGAAACTGCTAACGTGGCTTTAGTTTCTAGCAGTTCGGTACTTTC